CAAAACTTTATATGGACTTTGGCTTAGTTTACAAAACTTTATCGAGTTAATCTTTAGCTCATAATTTGTTTCTAACCCAAACAATATTTCCTCTTGGAAATCTCTGACAAGGCGGATTCTTTTTTATATTTTAAACTGTGTTTTATAATACTCAGTAAGTTTGTGCTTTTTCCAGTTGGTTCCGATACTCGACTGGTTTCCGTACTCGCATGGCTCCAGTTGTCCTTGGAGATCGTATCACCAAATTAGGGGGCTCTTTACTTTTACGTAAGGCAACCGTGGAGGATTCTGGGAAGTATGTTTGTCTAGTAAACAACAGCAGCGGTCATGAGAAAGCAGAAGTTGAATTGATTGTTAGAGGTTAGTAGACATGCGCACTCGTTCTTTTTAGAGTTATGAAAAATAGAAAATATTTGATATAAATTTCTAAAATATTTCAAACGATGAAAAGTTTTAGAACACTTTTCTTGATCTTTCGAAATGTTTTCAAATATTTTATTGATGTAAATTATTCTAGTTTAAATATTAACAACTATGTTTACAAAAACCCAAATCAGGTTTTTGCCTCTGTTTTATCCGAGTGCTGGTTTTTATATTTATCTTTCATCTGTAATTATCTTATTTTTGTCACATTCAGGTTTCTACACAGGATCTGATCTTCGTGTGTATCCGTATGTGTTTATTTTTCTTATGTAAGAAATACGGCGTTTAAATTGGGGGGGGGGGGTTTAGCTCGCACTTTGTTTAGAATTATGGGGATGTTTTAAACCTGATCTATAAAATCCTAGTCACAGGTTCGTTACCTTGTCATCTTTCTAAATTTAACCACAACAGAAAACTTCCACATCAGTGTCACTCCTGCAGTCCACATTGTCGACGTAGGCAAGCCTGCTGTCTTCCAGTGTAAAATTTCAGGTAAACCAGTGAATTTCGTCACGTGGCAAAAAGACCATGAACAGCTACCACATGCGAACAGCAGGGTCCATTTTGTGTCTCGAGACGTTCTGGAGATTCAACAGGTCCAACGTCAAGACAAGGGCTTCTACCAGTGTTTTGTATATAATGATCGAGACTGTGCTCAAGGAACAGCGGAGCTTAGATTAGGAGGTCAGTTTCTGTGGTTCAATGAAAAACTGGACCTCTGATCAAAGTTCGTTAAGTTAACTAAGTAATGTGAGATTTCAGGGAGCGCAACTAGCTTGTTAACGTTATTTGTCTGAGAGTCTAGCAGGTTAGTGATTTAGTCTGTTTGATTGTGTATCAGGTATGTTGCCATGTTTTGTCTGAGAGTCTACCAGGCTAGTGATCTGTTTGATTGTGTATCAGGTATGTTGGCATGTTTTGTCTGAGAGTCTACCAGGTAAGTGATTTAATCTGTTTGATTGTGTATCAGTTATGTTGCCATGTTTTGTCTGAGAGTCTACCAGGTTAGTGATCTGATCTGTTTGATTG